AATAGTTTCTACAGCACTCCGTGTCTCTTATTACTACTAGACTTCAAGGAGGAGAGTTGAGGGGGGAACTAAAAGCAGGGGCTCCCTCTTTAGACAATGCTCCTTCTTATCAGGGCAGACTGCTGTCTGGTTTCCTGTCTCAAGCTCTGGCATTACTGCCTAAGATGAGAAACGGGGTCTTAGAAAGGGACAGATCAGAATTGAAGAGAAGAATGCAGAAGTCCCTGATAATCCTTTTCTTCCAAAGGATTCCAAAAAGAATTTTGACTAGAATATTACATAGACTATCATAGAGTATAGCAAACCAGATACCAGTGTTTTGTTGTTGTTGTTGTTTGTTTGTTTAAACTAGCACCAATGACAAATGAAGCATTTCAGGAAGAAGCACAAATTCCAGAATGATGTAATTTGTATTTAAAGGATGAACTTGCTTGTCTTTATTTTCCTTAAACACAAGTGGGTCTAAAAATGAAGAGTTTAAAAAATACACACACACCTGAGATAATTACATTTTTAGCAAAAATGTTGATTTGAAAATATTAAGACATGCCTCCAAGGAAATATAAGAAGAAAAATAAAGGACAGATGTAAAATAGGATTGAATTATACAAGGCCACGAGATGCAATTTCTATTCCCTCCTATTTTTTGAGGGGTATTGTAATTATCAGGCTAGTATAATTTCTCCCCAGTTGTATAGTTAAGCATTTAAATGTTTCCAGGACTTCTTTTCTGACAGAAAATACTAAACTCTAATCATCTCTATGAGCAACCTCTCTTCACATCCTTCCCCTACCACCCCGGGGGGGTGGGGGGGGGAAGAGGAAGAAGGAATGATTAGGGGAAAGCTAAACAAACACTGTCTACCAAATCTAGCTGGATTGTTGCAACTTTGGAACTAGAACAAAAAGCCTGCTCCCATCTGAGTTACTTAGGAGTTTTAGTTTAAACGCTTCTACTCCTATAGGTTGACTTTAATATTATTAAGTTTACTTTTCCACAGAGGAATTTTATTAAGACTTTCCAAACCTCTCATCGTTTTCCTAAGAAAGCTGTCAGTAAGCTAATAGTTGATTTTAGCATCTTTCTTAATATTGTATTTTATACTTCCCTTTTATCCATAAAAGAATGTCGCAGGACATTAAGGTTACACCAAAGCATCATTATCATGAGTTTTGGGAGTAGAGGGCCTGTTTTGCTGTTTCAGCAATTTCGTGAATTAATTCCCTTACATCTTAAAGAAAATCCCCAAATAGGAAGTTTTCAAAACTTGTTTCCAATTTTCTTTTCTAACCAACTATTTCTTTAAAACTTCATTTTTGAAGAGCCAAGAAGAATATGATTTGTCAAGGCAGGTTTTAAATAGTTAACCCATACATTCATACACCCACAACTGATAGTATATACCACAAAGAAACAGAAGTATGAAAAAGTTATCCTTGTAAAACAATTAAGACAGAGAATTCTTCTGTTTTCAAAACAGAAGATGTAAAATGTCCAAACTACCTTTAAATGGATTTTTAATTTCTAGTTCTCCTTCTCTTTGAGCTTTTAAAACTCTCAGAACAGTCGAGGAATCAAATTTAGAATACAGTAAAATCTTTGTCGCTTATATAAAATAAATAAATAACTACACTGGTATTTAAATCTGAAAAAAGAAAGGATCCTGAGATTTTCTCAATGTAACTAATGTTTTGCTTAGATCATTTTTTTCCCCTAAAGATTGCTTCTCTAACATATTTAAGTCAGTCCAGACAGCTAAAACTGCTTATATTCTCCACCTTAAATAGCCCCCTATGCCTCAGACCTCCTGTCTTACCTGTGTACAGAGACAAAGCCACATCATTCAGAGAATGCTAAGGCTTCTAACCTGTAAAGTGTTAATCCCAGTTCAAAATTGACAGCTTCAGGGCAAAATGCCCATCTCAAAACAAAAACCCTGTCCCACCTTAAAACAAGAATAAAAAGCACTAATTTTTTCTCCCTCTAAATTTCTTAGTCAATATTTATACAAATTTTTTTTATATAACCATTTCTCTGAAAAATTTTTTTTAAAGTTTTTATCCACCATATAAACCCAATGGAGCAAAGGGTAGATGTAAAAAGGTTAACTGACTTCTCATTATGTCATAACAGGAGCATCTTAAGCAATCGTGAAGTGTGTAGAGACTTGATAACTCCCGGGGTGGGGACAGGGAATTTAGGGGCAGGGACCACTGCGGCCTGGTCTGGGCTACTGATCTACCAGAAAACAGCCTGAAACAGGAAAGAGCACACATATGCCACTTGGAATGTATGACGCAAACCCCAGCCTTGAAACAAAGAACAGGAAACAGCTCTGCTGGCTGTGCTGGAGAGAAAGCAGAGAAACATTTAGCCGGCCCTCCCTGACCCTATATTCATGAGCAGCTGGAGTTTTTTAAGACAACAACAGCGAGGTGGAGGTGTTTGTTCTATGGGTGTGAATAATAACACCAGCTTTATAGAGGAGACCTGCCCTATTTACAAATAGGGGCTGCCACATATAGTAAACATCCTAAGTAAACATGGGATTTTATCATATTCAAGCAGCAGAGACTTCATAATTAGCACCACCGGGCTTCCCTCCCGGGCTTTCTTTTGTCCCTTTCTCCCACATCCCCCTGGTTGGTCTTTAGCCCGCATCCAATTCTCTGTCCGGGTGATGATTTTCTTCAGCTAGGAGCATCATAAGAAAAATGAAGACAAAGTACAGCTGTTAAGAATTCAGATTACAATTGGACTTATCTCATACAACTGAAAACTAGACCAATTCTAAATTCCAAGACACAGACCGTGGGACATCTAGAGGCACTCCAAATTTTCAGTCTTAAAAACTGCCCAGGAATAGGCCCGCATGTGGACAGCTACACGCCTATTCTACTTGGACACACAGCTACACATTCACCTTATGAGACTGTGATTCCATTCGTGACAAGTCATTTAATCCAAAATTGATATACAACTGGTAGAAGAGGACCAACTTTTTAAAGATGTTCTTTCAAATGATATATTTTTAAGGGCAATCCATTTATCTCCCCTTCCTCATTGTTTCTCTTTACTTTGCCAGTCAGGGTTTTTTCTCAGGTTTCCCATTATCAGAGATTTGGGAATCTGTGTGTAGACATAATTACAGGTAAAACAAAACAAAAAAGGCACTAAGAAAATGGTATCCCTGTGCCCATAGCAACCAAAAGATTGGATTTTCATTTAGAAATTTTGCAGTGGAAAAAGCAATCGCTTTATCCAAAGCTATGCTGCTAGCTTTTCTACCTGATAAGGTCTTCTGGTCGAAGCAATTACTTTTCTTTGTTAATCACACATTGTGATTTTTATATTTCCATTCTCCTTCAGGCCAAGTGTTCCCAACACTGCATCTTCACTGAATTTACCAACAGCACATCAGGTTTCTTCCTACTGTCCTGCAGCAAACCCCACTGACTATAGAAATTGAGAAATCGTTTCTCCAGGGAGTTTAAATTAATCAAACATTTCATTTCAGGTTAGTTAACAGCTTTAGGTCAACTCTCATACTTCTTGTCTCAAGCCACAGAGGCATTTGTCCACTTTTTAAAATACTCGCTCACAACAATTTGGCGAGATTAATGCTCTCAGATCCCCACCACCACCAAAAGCAAGTCTTCCCTAAGGTCAGGTAAATTAAATGATCATCCACATGGACTTCTCTTGTAAACATATTCCTCAATCTCACACATCAAATACTCAGCAAAGGAAGACACAAAATTGCTCTGGAAAATACAGAATAACCCTAATTCCCCACTTAATTTGGCATAATTATTACAGCCACTAAATCTAAATGAAGTCAGAAGACCACTTCATGGTTTTCCCCAGACACCAAAGACCCTTGTGAACACACAACCAATTTCCGTTTAAACTGGCTTATTAAGAAATAAGTTCCATTCACAAATTTTCTCTATGTAGAATTACTGTATTATTCCTGTAAATTTTGAGGCAGAAAAGAAAGTTCTCCCTGCTATCTGCCAAAGAAATGGCGAAGACAAATTGCAGGTATTTATCTGCCATCTCTAAAAGCTACTCTGAAATATTGGGTAGGTCAAGGGTCCCTGGTCCAGGGATCAGCCCCTGGGCCCACACCGGGCTCGGGTCCCTAACGCTGCAGGCAGTGGTCCTAAGGCGCTCTCTGCCTCCAGCCACATTGCAATCCTTGCTCCAGGCACTGCGGCAGGTCCTCCTCAAGCCCCAGAGGATTGGGACTCTCCAAAGCCGGCCAGCTCTTTCTCTGCTGCCCCGGAGGACCTAGATGCCCTGGCAGCGCCTGGGCTCCAGGACCGAGAACGGGATGCTGCTTCCAGTCCCAATTGCCCAAGTTTCTTCCCAGAGGGCCTGGGTGGCTGGCTGCTCCAAGTTTGCTACGCTGGGCGAGCGGCCGCGCTCCGGTCCGGGGAGGGGGGTAGTGGGGGGCGCGGGCAGAGGGCGGGGAGGGGGAGGGCGCGGGGGACGGGGGACGAGGGGGGGGGGACCAGGAGGGGGAGGAGCAGGAGCGCGCGGCCTCGGCACTACCTTTCTCCAAACAACGTTGCCACATGCAGCGAACACTGATTTCTGGGGCTTGGGAAGGAATCGCGGGCGGGCGGCCGAGCGGGTGGGAGGGAGCCAGGGAGACCACACAGGTGAGCGCCCTCCCCAAGTCTAAGCCCCTCCAGGGGGTCATGGTGGACGCCGCCGGCCTGGCTTCCCGCACCCCCAGATACACACGGTGTCTCTTCCCCAATCCCACAACTGCAACCACTGAACCCCGGGACCCCTTCCCTCTCGCCTCCCTCGCTGCCTCCACCCTGGTCGCCAGGAGCTCTTGCACTTTCCCAAGCCCACAGATATCCCCACCCCCACCCTGTCCCCCCCAACTCATCCACTGCGTCCTCCCGGATAAAAAAATTAGACGCCCCAAAAAGGGGGGCTGCAGGAGTCGGGTGTAAGGAGAGGTGAGTGAGAAGGGACTTACTTTGCGAGCAGCGGTGCTGAGCGCAGCAGACAAGAAATAAAGGCCCGGATCCGAGCTTCCTTGAACCCCGCAAATGCAGTAATGTCAGCGCTCCGATCGGGCAGCAGCCGCAAGGGACAGGGACGAGGACTGGCGCGCGTGCGGCGGGCGCTCGCTCTGCGCTCCGGCTCGGCCCCAGCTCCGCGCGGCTCCGCTCCTGGCTCCTGGCACCAACTCCGGGCAGTCACATGACGCCGGCGCCGCTCGCTCTGCGAGCCTCCCGGGGCTGGCGGGGTAAGTAGAGGCTGGGACCCGGGGTGGGAGGGTCAGGGAGGGGAGAGGGAGCCGCCGCGGCCGCCCGGGCTGGGCGGGTCCCCACCCACTTGGGTGGAGGCAGCCGCCGGAGGGGTCGGCCGAGTCACTCGAGCAAACACGCACCCCGCCCTGCGCCCTTCCCCCGCCACCCCCGCCTCCTGCGCCGCCTCCGCCCCGCCCCGCCCAGTCACCCGGGGACTGCCTGACAGACACTCATTATTCCCCGGAGCCGGGCGCCGCCCCGCCGGCCGAACCCGTC